GTGCAAGGATGCAAGTTAGTCGCGTGTGTTGTGTGGAAAGTGAAGCGTGAACGTTGAGACGAAACGGGAGGGGAGACGATACGAAGAAGCCAGGCGATCAAATCGCCCAGAGAATTGAAAATTCTAAGTCTATAAAATATATTTATAGAACCTAGTGCGCGAATGTGGTATTGCGTGAGAGGAATGGAGCGAATGATAATCGAGAAATTGAAGAGAGCAGAAGTTACTAGAAGATTGAGGGAGAAACAAGATGGCGGGTGAAGGAAAACGGCGAACGAGACGCTCGAATATAAATACGATAGTGTTGACTAAGGGGGTATAAATATTAATTTCGAGGAGGAATGAGGATGGTGGATTGAGACAAGAAAAAAAGTAAACGAAAGGAGAAAGGCAGGAAAGTAGGGACAGCGATAACACTGACTGACGGTATGTTCTATCAGTATTTGCGAAGAGAAACGATGTTAGAGCGAAGCGTTCAATTAGAGAAACAGGGAGGAAAAGAAGAAGGTAATTAAACGATTCCGAAAACACGAACTCGTCGGATCTATCGATCGAAGTTGCTGAACTGTCTACGGGACGGGTGCGAAACGCGCGTAGAAATATGCGAGAAAGAGAGAAAAGAGCGAAAAGAGAGCAAGAGCGAGAGCGAGAGAGAGAGAGAGAGAGAGAAAAAGATACTATAAATATTATATATATATATACATATGACAAAAAAAGCATATATATATATATAAAAATTATACATATAAATGATGGGGGAGATGAATAAAACAACTATCGTTGATCGCTATATCAAGCAAGTAGATATATTATATTGAAGAAAACAAGAAATATATAAATATATATATAAATATATATAGTAGCGTGTCGGTATAATTACTACGATTTTGTAAGCGCGTGTCGCGGCGCGCCGATGCTAGGGATATTCCGTTGACCGCTCGTGCGAACCAGGTTAAATTAACTAGAAGAATCATCGACCGAAAACGGGTAAGGACGGAGTACGGTGTCACAGAATGCCCGGAGAACGGGATTGAAACGAAGTCGCGCGACAACGTGTTTTCCGGCGAGTGACCAGTGTCAATTGTATACGCGTTCGAGTTCGCCGCAGTCGCCCGGGGACCTTTTCCCTTCCGGCCGGCCACCTGTTCGCAATCTTGTTCAGTACGGATTTTCCTTTTCGAGAGTGAACCACCCTGACAATCGACAGAATTCGAACGATTCTTCCATTCGCCTTTCGCGGTGCATGCTAGTTACTTTTTTATAACGATAACGATAATGGTAATGGTAACGATAATCGATAATAATCACTGCACATTTGTTCTGCTCGTCCAAGGGAAAGGTCGAAGGCGATCGGCGAAGTCGAACGCAGCCCTAAGAAAGTGTGAAAGCACAGTATGCGAGTACGAGTAGTATTTAACACCAAAGAAGAAGAAACAAAAAAGAAAGAAAGAGAGGGAGAGAGAGAAAGAGAGAGAGAGAGAGAGAGAGAGAGAGAGAGAGAGAGAGAGAGAGAGAGAGAGAGAGAGAGAGAGAGAGAGA